ATTAGTCTGCACATATTTTGATGTAAAAAAAATGAACACTTAGGCCGCCACTGTTTAAAGGTTTATGGTCTATATTAAAAATACGAGAGTTTAATACAGGTACAAGCTGATAATTCATGACTGGTTAAAGCCAGCCTGTGGTACTTATGAATGCTTAAAATATAAAGAATAAAAACACGGAGGGCGTTCCGACAACCACGCACTTTAAATTATCCACGACGAGTGTTTATTTTAGGGCGAAGAATATTTGCGCGTCGACCAGTATCCAGATAAAAAAATGGAGGAGGGCACAAGCGAATGGATATAATCGGGGGGGGGGGGGGGGGGGGGGAGGGCTGAGCCACCGTATTGTTACTATACATGTTTAAGATTTTTCTAGTTCTGTCCTGATAAGTTCCATGTTGTAAAACGGAATTTGTCAGGTCTGAACTCGAAAAATGACGAACATGGAGAGTCAGGGTCCAGTGGCGCAGTTCGTATCTGCCCTCCCAATTATACCCCTTCCCCCATTTTTTATCTGGATCTAGATGTGGATGGAACTGAGACTTTTAAGCTACATTAATATGAAATCCACTAACCAAAAAGAGGAGTTTGTGTTCAAGTAACTGTTTAAATACCCGGATAAAAACCAAAGTCGTATGAGCTTTTTTACTATTGGTGCATTCAGTTTTTGCTACGTGGTTCTTTAAGGAAAATATAAAGTAGTTTAAATCATCGCACTTATTGCTCCACTATGCAGAAATATATAGTTTTACATATATTAACATAGAACACTGAAACACACAAACAAATGCCCAACCCTATAAAAAGATACCAAAAGTACAGACACAATTGCGCCGGTTGTAAAACTTTAACAACCGTCGAAGGTTTTAGCGAAAATTGTAAATTGACAATGAGCTACGCAGGTATAAAGCAACTTACTTATTGATGCTAAATGATCACTTAGCAATATAATTGTCGAGCTACGGATCAAATGTAGACGTTCGAAACGACAGAATGCACAAGCACACATTCTTAAGATGTAACTGATGACTGTTGTAAAGTAAACAATTAGCACTATATTTTATACGTGCTTTGATCACAATGCTCGACAGCGGACGTGTGACGACAAGCTAAAACGTTTTCAGCAAGGAAACCAAGAGAGCCAGGAAAGAAAACTGAATACCAAGAATTCCCGAATGGAGATATTACACTTAAGGTAAGTCTGAAATAAACGAGGTAACTGCTTATCACTAACGTTCGGAAATGCGAGGCGCCTCTGAGTTGTGAAGGGCGCTGAACAGCTGTATATACGCGGAATTGTACCAAAATAGGAGTATCAGGCAGAGCGAACATTCGAGGTAATAACTGTCATTGTAAGTCGGTGTATTAAGCAAATTGGTGATGAACTTTTTATTTAATAGTTTCATGGCTCATGCTGCAATTGCAGTATTCACGCCAACCACTATCGGATGCTTGACCGATTTACAAAATGTGCGAAAAGGTAGTAGTTTCTTAAATATTCATCGATCAATTTTCGCGTTTTTACTCCCGATTTTAGTATTGCGCGCAAAACGATTGCCACTCGCCTTGCCCACAATGACGCCTAGAATAGTGACGTCGTTTCCATGACGTCGTCACTATCTCGGCAGCGCCTCCTTGGTGGACGCGGTAACAAGCTGCTGTACATCTTAGCTTTATCAGAATATATTTAAGTTCAATAGGGAAGCGACGTCCCCGTTATCAATTTGCATCGGTAGCTATCTGTCCTGAATTGTTTTTAGATATGAACATACGACAGGAGGAGGCGCATAGGCAATGCGAAACTGGGGAAGCAGACGACGCAGACCTGCGTTCGTCAGCGGTTACCTGGGCAGAAGTCTATAAAATAAAAATTCAGACGGCAGTATCATTACGTATTGTAAAGAGGATACGGTCGTGGAAGTCAGAATAGCGTCCACTTCAAGTGTATAAAATCTGTTTTCAGAAGAGAGTTGAAGACCTAGCGGCGGCGTCTCACACCGTTGACGCCCCGTCGGCGAACGCCGGCGCGCGTCGCCTACGAGGCGAGTGCCTGGAAACATATGGTCGAGGATCTTTAAAAATAATTTTTTTTTTACCAACAACAAAAAAAAAAGTATTTTTCTAATTTTTTTATATGTTGAAGAGATGAGGTGAATAGAACTTTTTGCTCTTTCGAAAGTGGTGGTCACCGATGCCCACATTACTTTTTCTGGCTCCCAACAAGGCCGTGTATACAGAAACTGAAATATTTGTGTTTTAGTTTAAATACAAAAAACAAGGCTTTGAAAATTTAACACATGCAAGTAAATTATTAGGTCTATGTGAACAAAGGGGAAAAGTATCGTAGCTAACACCCAATTTCAAGCTGACTAAAAAAAAAAAGACAGTAATAGCATAAACACTGCTTTTTGGAGCTCCCATTTGGACTCAAAATGGTGTATTTTAGTGTTCGCATTTTAGTGTGAGATAGGGCATATTATTAAGTAATTGAGCGCCCACTTAAATTTGTGCAGTACGCGAGCACTTTTTCGCAGTGTTTTTCTTAACTACATGGGTTTTATGCAAAATTCTAAAAATTAAAGCATAATATCTCAACAAAAAAAATTACAAAAAGTTACTTATTCTGGGGTTGGAGGCCTTTGTACCAAATTAGTATTCTCGTACACATACTAGATATATAAAAAAAATCTGCCTCCTCTTTTGGCATGGCATGACCCTTACGTGACCTCTCCACTACTAAGTATTATGGATACAAAAAAAATAGTAATTGCTTATTTTGTAAACAGCGTTCAGTTTTAACTGCGCCCTCCACACTACAACATAATACATTAAGAATTATCTATTTTTCTGCCAGCATGAAGTTCTTCCTAAATCACGAGCGCGGCAATGTGCTAAAAAAGGTAAACCAGTATCGATGAAAAAAAAAAAAAAAAAAAAGGTTCTACATATTCAGCGCGCCCGGCATCGTCGGTCTGCCATTTCTCATTGACCAAAACATAGTACTGGCGATGCAGAAAACAGACAAATTGCAGTGCTTTTTTGGCTGAGGTAGCATTTATTTTGACAACGGAATTGATCTTGGGGAAACAGTCAGATTAACCAGTTTTTGCTTATGTTTTGGGGGGTTGTGAAACAAAAACATTAAACGAATAACTGCGAAGACGGTTCATCTATTTCTGACAAGATTAAATGCATATATTAAGATTCGAAGCTTTATTTTGAATGATGCTTTCGCTAATAAATACCCCCAAAGGAAAATTGAGTGAATACGATTGAGAGCTTGGTAAATCATTAGTGTTCAACATTCATTCTCAGCAACGTGGGACGCACGAGGACGAAAGATTTACACCCCTCAAGTGTAAAAGAAATTCCGTTTCCTAAATAGTCGGCTAAAGCATGACCCAGCCGCAGAACTCCATTAGTTTCGTACTGCGACGAATAAATAGCGATACGCTTGAATTGGGATTTTACGCCGCAGGAGCCACGATAATCCTAATGCTCTCACTGTAAGAGTAAAGGTGAATTACGAGTATTCAGCAGAGGAATGATTATCATATCCTAGGTAATGCCGTGGCTGTTATTAGTGACAATTTCAGTAACTAATATCCTTGACAGTTTTGAAACTGTAATGTTGGCTACATTAGACTTTGCAAGTTAATATAAGACACTTTTTGATACTAACGCACCTTCGCTGAGGAGTCATTATAAATTATTTGCGCTTTATGATCGTCCCCACGATCCATATGAGTCAACTTTCCAAGGGAGAGGGGGGGGCCGGTCAGGATGGTGACGACCGATGATGATGTTTGCCCGATGCAAGTCCCCCGCGAAGTCGAATAAGAGAAAAAAAAAAAAAAAAACAAGAAAACTAAAAGTTGTTCGATCCTGCTGGACACATTACGACGTTGGTTAGTCTACGATGGCCAGTGTGGCCACGTTTATTTTTAATACAAAACGACAACAAGTCAGCAGTAATTTACATGACAAAACTCCCAAAATTAAAACCCATACTTTAGTCGCCCAGTTGCAAGAGCCGAATCTGCCTGATCTCAAAAGCCGAATACCCGAGAATCCTCTAGGCAGCCCTTTTCTAGAATCGTAGGGGCCTCCTTTCCCTCCAGAGACGAACAAATCACTTCAATTTTGCCCATTGTCGCGCGGCACACTCTTACCCAATGATCAGCGAGCTGTCAGCGTGACCCCCCCCCCCCCCCCCCCCCCCCCCCGACACCTCAACGGTCAAACCCAAATTCCTTGTAGAGTCACTACATGCTTTCTGCGCCGTTTGACTGGCGCCACCAAGTTGAGTTATTGCGGTGATTCAAAGCGAAGTTTCTACACTAAGCGGCGCAATACGCCGGACACAAGCACAGTCGCTTAAAAGCCACAAGTGCGGACAGAAGCCCAAGACAGGGGTGTTCCGGCGCCCCAAACTGAAACCCAATCCGTTTGTGAACGACCGGGGTCCGACTCTTATCTACCGAGCCCCGCGGCTGCTCGAAGCCCCCCCCCGCGCGTGTGGGCGGAAGACGCCCAAAAGTGCACAGACAAACATAGGCAAATAAAAAAACAATGCCGACGCAACTGTAGAAAGAGACTTTTCTAAAACAAATCTTACTTATTTCTAACAAAATCCTGCGTTACTTAACAACATGTATCACAGGCAGCGTGTTGAACAAAAACGAAACTGAACTGATACTGCTCAAGTTGCTGGAAACTGATAAACAAGTCGGGAATTTCAGCACACATAGCGCGAAGGTCAGGCGGTATCTTATAAGAAGCTACATCCCAACCCAGGTAATTCATGCGATCTACTCCAACTAGACAGATTTCACGCGCATAATTTTGGCTAGGTTGCACCTCACCAGAAGTAGGCGTAGCTCTCAATCACATTAAAGCGCACTTCCTACACCTCCGGCCCCTTCGGCAAAGACCGCTTGTCAAAATATGCAAGACTCGCCATTCCGAGCCAAAAAATTAAAGCTCCAGAAACATACCTCATCGTGTTATCCAGTTGACATCCATGGCTCAGCATAAAAAGAGGTGCCGCAATGCTCCAAATATTCCGTTGTGTTCACAAAGGTTTATCACGTCGCACGGAAAAAGTCACGACCGATCACCGACGCAGGTCTTGGCAGACTAGGGCGTGCTGGTCGACGAAGTCTAGGGGCCCAGGACAATTCATCCCCAGAGTCTCCAAGGGCGGAGCAGACCGAACGAAAAGGGACGAAATCTCCCCATGAAACCGGCCCCCAGGATCGCAAGAAAGTTCCCTAACGATCTGTGAACTACCCGTGACTGCCCCTGACTAACACTGAGTTGTCTTCAGATTCGCCGTCAAAGAAGTTTGGTCTGGTATCTAGGGACGCTTCGGGAATCGCTTTATTTTTTGTGTCTGTTTTTTTTCACTTGCTTCTGGTCATTGTTTTTACTAGAGAGTCAGTCTTCTACGATTAAATACTTCGTGCACTTTTCAAATAAATCGCCTTGTTACACAATGCAAGCCGTTTTAGAAGCTCACTTTTTTGCTGATTTCTTATTTGACACAGGGTAAATGTTATGCTGCCACACAAGGTTATATTTTTGTGATAGTTTTTGCTTTTGCAAGGATTAAAAACTCTTTATTCTATACTCAGGAGATTGTATACATTTTACTCATAAAAGATTACATACAGGACAGATTGCATGTTTACGTTTACAGAATACTTTCATTACGAAATGTATATTTAAAATTTAGTGTTGACATTAGGTGTTGAGCTGTAAGGATAACCAGCTTTTATTAGGATTTTAAATTTGCGCTCTATTATATACAAACATTTATTAAAATTGACTACAAACGATTCGCAACACATTTAGCAACAAGCAAATAAAAAAAAAGCTCTGTACAAATTGTGTGTTCAGCAAAACTTTGGTTTGTCTTAGTGTTCCCAACACGCTTACTACAACTTACCACATTTTCACATATCGCTACACCAGTGATCTTAATCCGAAGTAATAAATGTAATAGGAAGCTTCTCCACCTTATTTTACTCAGTGCTGCTATCCAAAGACAGGCCAGCGGCGTGTAAGAACATTTTAACAGCAATACATGAGAAATTATGCTTTAAAACACGCCATATAATCTTTACAAGTAAGGGACAATTCACGCGAAGTATTGTCTGTCACTTATTTATTAATTATTGTGTTTAGCAATCATTGTGTTTATTCATTATACCTGTTTATGAATCGCAAACATATCCGATGTTTGTGTGTTACTGCAAACGTGAAAAAATATTATTTATTCAATTTATCTAAAGAAGCATGCGCGTTTATTTTAATTTTATTATAAACAGGTAGAAAACATTCGTACCATCCCACGTTCGCATCTCTATTTGATAACTTTGAATTCCGAGAAAAGGCGATGACTGGTATCTTAAAGAACGAGAATGTAATATTGCGAAACAAGATTCGCTGGCCCATGAAGCAGGTTTTCGTATGCTCTCAGCCCAGAGAGAAAAGGGAGAGAGAGAGAGAGAGACAGAGACAGAGAGCGTTACAGGACGTCGTCGCTACTACATTTGCAACACTTTTTGTGGCTGACGCTCGCACATGCTACAGGAAGGAGTCGCACCAGGTGGCCAAACGCTGCTTTAGAATCGGGGCCAACGACCTTTTCCAATCGCCAACGTGTTGATGTCTTTTCCTTACGCGTTCGCTGTCTCAAGCTGTGCAGCGATCAGAGCGTGCACGGCAGACGTTAGAGAGCGCGGGACACGAGACTCCTCATTTTTGCAGCCATATTTGCGTTGTTTTGGTCTCGTACGCGTATTATTTTAACGTCTGGAATAAATGGACCTTTATCCAGTAACGAGCGCCGTCTGCGGAGTTGTCTTCGAACTACAGATGAAGTGCAGCCCAAGTTGCCTCCGCCCATCATAATACATGGGCATCGTACTTTTGCGTTGATCTTGGTTGCATTTTATGATTCATACTAGGGTACACTCAAACAAGATGGACCAAAAAAAAAAACACGAAATAGGCGCAAAGGTAGGTGCTTAATATGTTGGTCAATCGGAGTGTTGCCCCGCAAAAATGGCAAGAGGCAGAAGCAAAACTTGGAGAGGGGCTGTATGCATGCGCAGAAGCTCACTGGAAAAAGGTCCATTGTGATGTCGGTTTAGGTTGAGAGGCAGGACGAAGCCTGTTATGTAGAAGGTAGAGGCGTAAAGCTTTTGTGTAGTCGCGGACGGCTGAAGAAACGGAGGGCGTGGCCTATTCATGTTTCCGTTCCTTGCTTTATGATTCGTTCGTCGGTGTTCTTATTGTCTAATGCCACAAATTCATTGGCTGCGGAGCAGTTATAAGACACTGCTCGAGGCTGGCCACGCCCTGCATTGCCTAGGCTGTAATTGACTGAGCGGCTTGGAAGTTCGCCTGCTTCTTGCGCACTTCGCGCTTTTGTTTGCCCCCAATATCCGTCCACGTGCCTCTGTTGGCCACCGAAATCAACCAATGACCGCGCGCGCTTGGTTGCTCGTTATCGCGCGTTCCCTACGTGTTATCAATGTTGTCCTTTGATTGGCGTGGCCCTCTTTGCGTTCTGATGCGCCAAATATCTATTTCGGTACACTTGCTGGCGGTCTAGCCTTAATCATTTGAAACAGAACACGCATCTGCAACGTGTCTTTCGCGTGCGAGGTTATGGTTTTCTCGTCAATCATACTGAGCTGTTACAATTCCCCTCTAACTAGGCCTATATTTTTAGATTAACAACGCTGATTGGATTTACTGCTCGGTCGACCAATAGTCGCCTGATGTGTTGACATATCTAAGTTCTGCCTTTGACGTGTGTATGTAAAAGAGAAATCGAGGGGGGTGGTTTGAGAAATTAACCCTCTGTCGACTTTCCTGCCGTGACAAGCCCGTAGCTCGGTACTTAAACTTTACTATAATATACGCTTTGTTGTTTCAGGAGTTTTTGACTTGACCTTTGCACGTCGGTTCGGAACGGCTTGCATGTCAGGGAGGAACGGGGGGAAGGGGGGGGGGGGGGGGTGAGCAGACTAACGTCGATTTTATAAAAACAATGTCAGAAGCCTGTACTAGATACTCCCAAATGATTCTTTAATTTCTATATACGAAGCCCTCACGTTGACGACGCCAAGAAATGTAATGTTTGATGACCGAGGTTTCTTGCGTATCCCGAAAACCGTTCACCCCTGACGCTGTCAGGGGTTAGGAAAATAATAATTTAGTCAGGGCCGGCAAAAGACGCAACGAATGCGCAAAGGTTGGATGAACTAATACAATGATTGTCTTCATCGGATCGTAAAGTTGGCGGTGATCGGACAGTAGAGAGCTTTAGAACTGCCCGTAGGAACAAACGGGAGCGCTGTTGTTCGTTTGCGTTAGCGTTGCCTGCTCCACGCTGCGTGTCGTCGCCATGCGCCAATCCAAAAGACCGCAGTTTGGGCTCCGCTCACACGCCGTGTAAAACACGCGACCCAATCGCACAGTGCTTATCTCCGCTCGTATACGCAATACTAAGTCTCACTAATGTAAAACAGAGGGACGCTTTTTTATTTTTATTTCTTATTTTACGCAGAACATTGTTTGACCTGACGTGGAACTCCGCTTCATAATAAAACAAACCATATATATATATATTTTTTTTTTCTTTTTTTTTCTGCACGTGATTTTTGTTATTATTTGAATTACGACCCCAATTCGCTGGAAATGTTTCCACGGTACGCGCACTCCTCTCCAGCGCTAATCGCCTAGGCGAAAACTGCCGAGTCACTCGGCAGTGGACGCATGCGCGGCGGCGTCTGGCACTCTCTAAAAGAGAATGGGTGCGCATGCTCAGAACAGCGCTGCACAACCCAGTAAACAAAGATGGCGGCACCCAGAAAGCGATTATCAGAATTGTCTATAATGCCCTTTCTTCTTTCTTTGATGTCTATACGGCGTGCAAGTTCGCCCGTTCCTTGCTCACTTGGTGCCTTTGTTTCCCGCCCGACCACAACCAATGACGGCTCGCGCCTGTTGGCCTCCTCATCGTGCGTTTCCTGCGCGCTATCAATAGCTTCGTTCGATTTACTTACACCTCCTCCACCGGTGCATAAAAGCGTAGGGCGGTTTACTTCCGGTCGTATCTCATACGCACACCGGAAGAACACTGTCCTACTCTTTTCCGCACCCTTGCAAAAGGTGATAGTGGATCAAACGAAGTTAATGTTGCCATTTGATTGATGCGCCCCTTCTTGCGTCCCGATGCGCCAAACAAGTCCTTTAGCTGAACTCTAGTGCTCCTTATAGCCGCTGAAAAATGCGAGTCCGCTGTGTAGTGTAGGACTTTGCGCACGCGCGGAAAGCCGAATCACTCTTTTCGTTTAAAATTTCGCGCACAATTACGGTGAAGTAACGTAAAAAGATTTACATATTAAAAACGCTTTTGGAGCATCTGCTTGAATATTGCTCTTTGTGTATGAAAAAAGAGACATTGTCCGCAAGTTTAGTAATTTATGCGCAACGTTTCAACTAGATGGACTCAAATGTGCTAAATATTAATTTTAGCCCTTCAATGTAGTAAGCAAGTGAAGTTAATTGGCAGAAATGGAAAACTAATATCTGCCATTACATTCGAAATATTCCATATTTTAAACGGTTCTTGCTGTAAAGGTATAACTTGACATAACTAATAAATATAATGTATAATAAAAGCAACTCTTGAATAAAATACACAATATATTTTAAGCTTCCACGATTTGTTTTAGAATAAAATATTATTTTTAGGACACCATAACCCAAACCATAAACATTACGCCATAACATTAGGTGATTTGTTTATATCGTATATCTTTGCAGTGAATATCAAATAGGATAGGATTCGCATTAAATTACATTTCTAATGTGCCTCAGATAAACCAAATTCAAACATTTAAAACGTTATTTCTACATTTGAACACCCTTCCCCCCTCCCCCCGCACACACACACACAAAAAAAAGGCAAATGAAAGATTTTTCGTACATTTTAATTAAGTGGTCACGGGCTGCATTCATACATATTCCAGAGTATCATCTCAAGAACGATTGGTCTGTCTTTGAAGCGGTGAACGGCTGCTTTGTATAACCACGAATTGTCTGAAGTTTCCCTACACGAATACGTCCGGGCAGCGC